ATATTTCAAGTATATACCCTTTACCGTTTATGTACATTGCGTGTATATATATATATACATGTGAGTCTTATGTATATAAATATATGTATGTACTTATATATATATATATATAAGTATATCTAATTGCACTCGGGCTGTTTGTTCGTTATTGTTGGTATTGTTTGTTGCTGTATAGACAAGGCAAGCACTTGCTCATTAAACAAGATGAACATAATATACATAGATATATATATATATATATTAATATATTTACATACTTGTTAATATATTTATATATATTATGTATGCAAAGAGACAAGTACTTTTCTACAGCGAAATAACAAACACCCATCGAAGCAAACGTACAGCACTATCCGAGTGCATAAATAGGCATATACAAATATTTATAAATATATATTTATAAATAAGTATATCAATAAAAATATATATTTATAAACGGATATTTATAAATATATATATATACCATTCCCTTCTTGACAAAGTCTTCTCTACTATTATTTTGTTTGTTTTGTTCTACATATACTTACTCGAATGTCTTCTTAATACTTATTTGTTTCTCTTTTTTATCTTTACTCCTTTTTAATGAAGAAGCCCCATCTGCATCAGCAGCTGCTGCATCATCAGCAGGATCAGCAGCAGCAGTAGTTGCTGCTGCTGCTGCTCCAGCAGCAGGATCAGCACCAGTAGCTGCTTCTGCTGCTGCTGCTGCTGCTGATTCAGCAGCTGCAGCAGCAGAACCCGCAACAGCATTTACTCCTCCATTAGTATTATTTTTGTTGGTTTCATTATTGTTTGTTATTTTTGTATTATTATTTTTATCGTTTGTTTGTTTTAATGCACAAATAGAAATCGCTAGAGAGCCGTGCTGCAGCGTTTGATTAGGATTTTTAATTTTTGTCTTTGCTATATCTGCAGATGAAGGAATAACATATTTCTCTAAAGCGCAGTAACGTCGATGAGGTGAACATGTGTTAAAACCAGAGCGGCATAACCCCATGAGCGTTTGCAGCTGCAGAGCAAATCCTGTTCAAGAACAAGCAAACAAACAAATAATAAAAACCAAATATATAAATAAAAATATAATAATCATAAATCAATAATTAATCAACAATTAATAAATTAATTAACAAGAGAAATACCAATTAAACAAACAACAACAGCATCAGAAATGCATGCATGCATGCATGCATGCATAGAGAGGGGGTATACGAAGTCATTGAAACTTTTATATGTGTACAGTATATTTAATCAAGTTATAGAAATATACAAAGAAGCCTCTTCACTTGCATGCATTCTGCTGTCTGTACACCGCAAAACCCGTTCTGTCTTTGTCCTGATATGTTGTTTTGTAACAGTGAAAATTTATTTTAAATTCATTCACAAATAATAATACCAACATAATAATAATAATAATAATAATAATAATAATAATAATAATAATAATAATAATAAGGTACTACAAGTAGTAATAATAATAATACTAATGATAGCAGCAATAATAATAATAATAACAATAATAATAATAATAATAATAATAATAATAATAATAATAATACAAGTACCAGTATACAAGCAATATACCGAGGCAAATAAGAATACTATGCTGCATGCACTGCATGCAACATATTATTACTGATAGCACTTTATTATTATATTATTATTAATACTAATATTATTATTATCATTTTCTTTATTATTACATTTTATTCCTAATGTATTATTATTGTTGTACATTATTATTATTATTATTATTATTATTATTATTATTATTATTATTGATATTTTTTTGATGTTTTACCCGCAGCATTTGCTGCATTTACTCCGCAGTCTGCTGCTGCTGTCTCCTTCGGGTCTACTGTCTCCGTGTTGTTTATTTTGCTAGCGCTTGAAGCAACAAAGATATCTTTAAGCCCTGAGCAATGCCCAATACAAATAAACAAACAAACATATATATGTATATATATGCATGCATGTAGTAATATTAGGTGCGCATGCATGCATGCATGTATGTATGCATGTATGTATGCATGCATGCATGCAGCAGTTAGTGTTTGTTGCTTGCATGCGCAGACACATAATCAACTCGTAGTTAATTAATATACGGCATATTGTTTCATTAGAAACAATGCATGTATGCGCTGCTTAAAACCAAACAACATATCCAGGCTTAGGGGTTTAGGGTTTAGGGTTTAGGGTTTAGGGTTTACGGGGTACCTGCGGTATCTTTGTGTACGCATGAAACGTAGAAGAGATGACGAGTTCGTGTGTCTGGTAAGGGGGATATTACATCTTCGAAATGGCACTCCTTCGCTCCTGAAGAGTCGCAAGGGTTTAGGGTTTAGGGTTTAGCGTTTAGGGTTTAGAGAGGAAGTGAGAGTAAAACCAGCACTAGTTGGTGTAGCTGCAAGAACTGCTAGCTTGTATGCATGAAATATGCATGAATGCAGCTGGAGGGAATGCCCGCTTGGGGCTTTGCATGCATGCAAGCATGCATGCAAAGCCCCATTCATGCGTGCATGCAAAACCCCATACACGCATGCATGCGTACACACAAAAACCGCATGGCCCCACGCATGCATGCATGCATGCATGCATGCGTGCCTAAACCCTAAACCCCCATGCATGCATGCAACCCCCCATTCATGCACGCATGCAAACCCCCATGCACGGATGCATGCATGCATGCATGCATGATACCTACCTGGTGAGCAGTGGTTTACAGTAATGCTTGCAAGTACGTCACTTGCAAACGTAAAGCTCATTCGAAACCCAAGGAGAACCTCCTTGTCTTGGCTACACCCCACAGTTACTTCAGGCTGAAAGACAAGCAAATAAATGCAATTTATCGGCATTAATAGGCCTTGCGTGCATGCAAAGCCCCATCCATGCATGCATGCATGGAGCAGTCCGGTGTACGTACACCGCAGCGGCAGCCTATGGAGATGAACAAACCCCAAAAAAATTAAACATGTATTAATAAAATATCTTCATTTAAGGTAAAGGAGACATCTGAAGAGTGCATTTAAATATAATAATGAGTAGCCAGTAATTGTTAATGATTATATTTAATTGCTGTTTGAATTTATTTAATTAATTAATTCATTAAGAGCAAAACTTAATAATTAATTAATAAACAATAATAATATTATTATTAAGCAATTTACAATAATTATAAGGAATTAATAACACTAAGGAACAATTGCGTAAGAGACATCTGCTTGATAATAATTATTAATAATTATTTTATTTATTTACATAAAATAAATAATAATGATTAATTATTTTGAATGGATGAAACAAAGCAGTAATTGAACGTACCACTAAATAATTAAACAAATAAATACCTCTAAATACTAACAAATGCATGCATGAATGCATGCACTTGTTAGTATTTAATGGATGCATGCATGCATGCATGAGTTAAATGCCAAACTAATTAATAATGCATTATTATTATTATTATTACTAGTAGTAGTATCACTATTATTATTGTTATTATCCCTATGATTACTATTATTATTTTTTTACTACTATTATTATTACTATTATTACTATTACTATTATAATTATTTAACTTGCATACATGCATGCATGCATGCATGCATAACTTACAGGGGGGTCCACTGAGGTGTATGCATCCACTGAAGAAATTTGATTTGCAGAGCAGACAGCCCAAATGCGACATTCACTCTGAGACCCACCGCCTAAATTTATACCCTCGCAACGATGGCTGCAACAATCACAAATATATATATATATATATATATATAGTTGCATGCATGCATTCTTGCATTATTGCATGCATGCATGCGTGTATGCATGCCGCCTTGCATCCATGCACATGCATGCATTCATGAATACTGGCATGCATACATGCATACTTGCATGCATGCAGACTTGTATGCATCTCTGTACACTTGCATGTATGCACACTTGTATGCATGCATACTTGCTTGCATGCAAGTATGCATGCATAGTTGCATGAACACTTGCAGACTGTATACTGTGTTAACCCTTCAGGCAGACTTGTCTCCAAATATGCATGCATGCATGCATGCATGTTTGGAGGGCTGTATGCAGCTTGCGTGCATGCATGTAGCACACACTATGCAAAGGCGCATGCATGCAATAAGTATTTTCTTTGTGGTTGATTTATGTGGGGGAGGGAATTGAAGTGTATATACACCGGAGTTAATTGCGTAGTATTTCTTTTACCTTCCTGCTTGACAGCTTCTAATATCTAGAGGAGCAGAGGAACCACTAATATTAATTGCAGAAGAAAACCCAAAAAGAATTCTTTGACCTTCTGGACAGTCAACAAAGCCAGGGCAGCTGCCAGCATAAACAACTCCGGTGCTTCGTTCCTGGAGCTGCAGAGACACCGCGCAAACAAAACACAAAAATATGCAATTATTCAAATGCAAATACATGCATGCATGCATGCATGCATGCATGCATGCATGCATGCACAACAACACCGGCAACAGGAAAAAGGTAAAACTGCATATAAGAGCAAATTAACAAACAAAACAAAACGAAGAGAAACACAAAACAACAAGGCAACAGCAAAATATCAGCAACAATAAAAATCAAAGCAATATAACCCGCATCCCCAGATATAAACAAAGCAGCAAGAAAACACCTGAAAAACAAACAACTAAAGCAAATAAACAACACCAACAAGGGAAGAAGAAGAAGAAGAATAATAATAATAGTAATAATAATAATAATAATAAGAAGAAGAAGAACAAGAACAAGAACAACAACAACAACAACAGCAACAACAACAACAACAACAACAAAAGAAGAAGAAAGGCATAACAAGAGCAAATCAGCAACGCCAACAAGACAAGAAGAGACAGTGAATTAGGGTGTCTCTTACCAACTCTGGGAGAGGTACAGAGGACCCGTCAAATGCTTCAAGGTCTTCTTTAGAGACACCGAAAACTCTTGAATAAAATGCTGTGGCATCTCTATACGCTTGGTGCAACTCTTCAGGAAGCATGCGCACCAAAGACTCTAGTTGATACTGCACCTGTGCATGCAACAAGCAAATAAACAAATAAATAAATAAATAAGCAATTAAAAGCCCCAACTTGCATGCAGCCCGCATCCATAAAGAGAAACATATATCCCAAATCGCATGCAATGTGCATGCAGCAGGCATCGCAATGCATGCAGTCTGCATACAGGAAGAACCATACTGTATGCAGTGTGCATGCAAAAAGCCCCAATATATGCAATATGCACCCACACAGCCCCACACCGCATGCAGCCTGCATGCATAAAGACAGTGCATGCACCATACATACAAACGTTCAGTGCATGCATGCACCGCAGATGCAGAATCCAAGGCAAACCACGGAATCTACATGCACAAAGCCCCAACGTGCATGCAATCTGCATGCCTAAATAGCCCCAAAGTGCACGCAATCTGCATGCATAAATAGCCCCAAAGTGCGTGCATTACCGGCATTGGGAGGTCTGCAACGGACTGTTCCCATCGTGAAAGTTCTTCAGGATTTGAAGGGTCTTTTGGGGGTATTCCACCGACTACAAATGTCGTTGTTGTTACACCATATGATCCCCCAGAGGCCAAGATAGATGATAGACTCCCAGCAGAACCGTCCACACTAAACCCCCAGCAGCAGCAGCAGCAGCAGCAGAAACAGCAGAAACAGCAGCAGCAGCGGCGGGGCAGGAGCAGCAGCAGCAATAGCAGTAGCAGCAGAGCAGAAACAGCAGCAGCAAGAGGATGAGTTTATTGAAACGGATAGTGTTCGGTTTGCTGCTGTTTGATTCTGCATTCATTGCTCCTAGGGATGCACCTTAGGAATTAGGGTTTAGGGTTTAGGGTTTAGGGTTTAGGGTTGGGATCGCCCTGACCCACCTGAAGACGTTCATTACGTTGATATCTGCTGATGCACTTCCTTTTTTGCTTTTGTTTGCAAGCGCACTTACTAATTCCTTCGAAACCCTAATTTGTTTTGTTATCTTCCCTCCTTCACGCACACACATGCTTCACACATTTAAGATATTTATCCGCTATATACCCAACATATATACATGTATATATATATGTATACATGCATATGTATATATATATATATATATATATATATATATATGCGTTATATATGAACAAACAAAACAAACGAACGAACAAACAAACAAAGGAAAAAGCAGACAAACAAACAAAGACGAAAAATATTTTAATTGCCCTTACCGAGTTTAACATTTGTAGTTACATGAGTACCAAAGTCAGAGAAGAAACGTATCCACTGCGTAATTCCATTGTCTGTACACCCGAATGCTTGAGAATTATTCTTATATACTTCAGGAGTGCAGTGTCTCCCTTCTGGAGTACTTGGGAAGCTTGCAGGAAGATTTTCTACTGCTCTTCTAAACGCATCCGTTGGCTTGCTGCACACATATTATACCCTAAACCCTAAACCCTAAACCCTAAACCCTAAACCCTAAACCCTAAACCCTAAACCCTGTCGCATGTTCCTCTGCATTCCCTTACATCCAAAATCCTCTTCATTGAGTTTTTATTTTTATACGTACAACAGCATTATCTTCTACTTTTTATAATGTATATATATATTATATTTATTTGTATATATAATAAATATATGCATGCATATGCATATATATATACATATATATATACGTATACATATTATACATATGCATGTATGCATACATACATAGATATATATATTATATTTACATATATACATATATATATATATATATATATATACATATGTAGGTATATGCACATATATCCCTACACAATTAATAAATGTATAGATTAGAAATAAACGCAGCTGCAGCAAGCAAAAACAACAATAAGAATAATAATAAAAATGTAAATAAAAATAAAGATAATAAAGGGAGGGAGAAAAGAGGGAAGTAGACACACCTATCTGTTAATCCAATAGAAGCAAGACCAGCTTCATATCTAAAACAATAAGCTCTCATCATGAATGTTCTTGTTTGTCTTTTTGAGTTTTCTTCTGCGATCTTTTTAAAGTTTGCACTCCCACTAAAAGGTAAATAAGGCACTACTCCGTCTATCTGTGCATCTGCGGAGAGCTCTGAAACATAGTCCTCCATATTTTCTATTTCTTCTACCTGCAGTACACATACAATGCATATATATATATATATATGTTTATATATATGTTTATATATATGTTTATATATTTGTTTATATATATCTATATATTTAATGTATATATATGTTTATATATATGTTTATATATTTGTTTATATATATGTATATATATGTATATATTTAATATATAGTTACATATATATATGTATATATATATATATATATATATCCTCATACATACATATAATATATATGTAGATGTTTAATGTATATGCATATATATGTGTATATAAACATATTCACATATATGTATAGGTATATATTCGCATATATGATATATATCTATCATATATATATAAATATATATATATATATGAAGGAGGAGCTTGATTTGTATGTTATTGAATGAAGAATCTCACTGTCTCTGCAGACTGGCAGGAGACATAAGATCTAACATAGCCTCCTTTAGGTTGAAGCGTAGTTAAATCTGCAGATATTCCTTCTTTATCATGCCCCCATTCAAAAGCAATGCATGGAGCTCGAAAGCCGGGGTCTCCAGGTGTATGGTCATCTCCTAATGGGTTCCCTCGTATAAGGTTATAGCCTGAACCTAAGTACCCTAAGGATTCATTAAAGGAGACAGATAAAGGAGACATATAAAGATATTAATAGTAATATAATCATATATCATTATCTATATAAGAATAATTATATATGTAATAAGAAGAACTGATATATTAATTAAAAAAGCAGACAGATTATTTAAAGAGACAGTGTAAAGAGACAGACACAGGCTGACAAGGCTACAGCCTGAACCTAAGGAACCTAAAGAACCATTAGAGGAGACAGATAATAAGAGTTATATATATACATATATATACCTAAGGATAAAGGAAACAGATAAACGGGACAGACAAAGGGGACAGATAAAGGCGACAGATAAAAGAGACAGAGTGCATAGACCTGAAGATGCAGAGCATATGTTAAACTAAAACAACATCCTTACAGACAAAGAGATACAAACAACATAAACAAAAACATATGTAGACAGCGACAGAAAAAGGGACAGAGACAGAGATAAAAGGAGACAGAGAGAGAGAGAGAGATGGAGACAGCATATACACCACGCAACAGACAAATCACATAATGACAAGGAAAAATTTCAAGCTCTAAACCCTAAACCCTAAACCCTAAACCCTAAACCCTAAACCCTAGACCCCAAACCCTGTCGCATAAACCCTGCACCGCAAACTCTAAAAGCTAAACTCTAGACCCTAAATTGTAAGCCGTAAACCCTAAACCCTAAACCCTAAACCCTCACCGATTCCTGGTATGGTGTCAGTGGCTTGTTGATATACATCGTCATCGCTTGTTATAGACAGCCGATTTCTTTGTGGAGCTTCATCAGAGTCTCTCTCTAGGCTTCTATTAAACCAAGCTGCATGCATGCACGCATTACGAATCCCCAAAAGACAGCAGCAACAGCAGCAAACGATGTTCCGCAGCAGCAACACAACAGATGACGGCTTAGGGTTTAGGGTTTAAGGTCTAGAGACAGCTTCTGTAGCAAGAAGTAGAGACAGGCATAGAGCACTTCAAATTAGGATTTCATGGAGACACAGCATCTGAAATTAGGATTGAGAGGGACAAGTTGAGGGTTTATGGTTTACGGTGTAGGGTTTAGGGTTTAAACAAGGTGTGGTTTAGTCGGGGTGTACAGAGGCAATTAGGACTTATGATGAAGGTTAATAGAAAGCAAAGGCTGATAACTTAGGGTTTAGGGTTGAGAGAAAGAGGTGAGGGCCTGGAGGGTTTAGACAAGGTGACTGTTTAGAAAAGGTTAGGGGTTTGGGTTTAGGGTTTAGGGTTTAGAGATAGCGAGGGTTTAGCATAAGCTAGGGTTTAGGGTTTAGGGATTAGAGATAATTGGCAGTGAAGGTGTGGACAACGTGACGGTTTGGAGCGAGTGAGGGTTTAATAACAGTTCGGGTTCAGCATAAGCTAGGGTTTAGGGTTTAGGGTTTAGGGTTTAGGGTTTAGGGTTTAGGGTTTAGAGTCCTTACAGGTGTCCTTGCCCAGGTCGTCAAATGATCTCTTTTCAGGTCGGTTTTCTACAGACATCTGCAAACAAAAACCGTTGAGGATTTGTTTGTTTGTTTGTTTGTTTGTTTGTTTGTTTGTTAGTTTGTTTGTTTGTTTATATGTTTCTGCTACTTTATTTTGTTTGTTTGTCTGTTTGTCTGTGTGTCTGTCTGCCTGTCTATTCGTCTTTCTGTTTGTTTATTTGCTTATTCGTTCATTTTAATTCATTTTTTTGTTTGTTTGTTGATATGTTTATTTAATAGATTATTCATCTATGTATTTGCTTTTATTTGCTGCTGCCTCCTTGGTGCTGTCTCCTTTCTCTTTTGTGTGTCTCTTTGTCTTGCCTTGCATATATTTGTTTTAATATATGTTTATATTAATACTCCCTGTATATTTGCTTAGAATGTTTTTACTGCGATACAATATGAATAATAAAAAATATATAAATATTGTATATACTCCGCTATCTTCTGCTTCTTGAACTGAGGTGTATATACACCTACTTCGCCTAAGCGTTTGCCGGCGTCTGCAGCTCTTTTAGAGAGTTTGTCTTTGGTTGATTTTTGCTTTCTACTGCTGCTTCTGTTTGACCTTCTATATTCGTCTTCTGAGTCGCTGGAGTCTTCATCTTCATCATCACCATCATCATCATCAAAAAAGAAAGAAAATGCTTTACCTTTCTCTCCAATTCCTGCTGCTCCTGCTGCTCCTGCTGCTGCTGCTACTTCAGCTTCTTTGGGATTGTGCGGCCGCAGCTGCTGCAGCAGCGAGTTGCTGCTGCTGCTGTTGCTGCTGCTGCTGCTGCTGCTGGTCAATTCCTCATTTTCGGTGTTTGTTGGTTGGGGGCCAACGTTGTGAGGAGATGCGGAGACAGTTGAAGACTTAGTGGAGACAGGAAAGGAATCAGCAGACCTGTCTTCTTCTGTCTGCTCCGCATCATCAGCAGCAGCAGCAGCAGGAGCAGCAGCAACAGGAGAAGGAGTTTCGAGAGCAGAGCCGCGAGACACCCGACGCAAGCCTTCAACTGATGGCACCAGCTGCATGCATTGCAGCAGTAACAGCCCCAACAGGCACAAGGCCAGGCCTCTAGAAGCCATAGTAGTAATTCAGGTGTATCCTCAGCTGCTGCTGTTGCTACTGCTGCTGCTGCTTGAGTCTATAAAGAATTGCTCAATTGTTTGACAGGGGGACGACTCCGGAGGGAAGGTGCTGTCTGTACACCCCAACAAAAAAACAGGGATCGGCGTAAGCGCACGCTGCAACTAAAAATTAATGAATAGTTTCGGCTTAAGAATAATAAAAAATCTCCTTCTACTTTACCCGCAAGAAGCCCTTAGAGGGAGAGAAGAAGGGCAACGCTGTTGTTGAAGTTTGGCCGGGGGAATCGAGTAATTATTGAACGGCTCTTTTCTGCAGCCTTGTACACCCAAGAAAATCAAGAAGGAGGCTGGGATCGACCCCACAAAACGATCCCGGATCGGGATCGGGGAGCGATCCAGTGAGGGCGGAAGGCCCCACAGATCTAGCCGTATCAGCACCCCGCGCGCACACACAACTTGGCGGAGGAAAATGAAAATAAAAGGCGAAAATGAGTTAATTAAGCTCAAAGAAATCAAAATAAATGCAAAGGAGAGGAGAAAAGAATAGGAGGCATGGCTGCCGTCCAGCAGCTGTATATACACCGGAACCGCTGGGCTGGTGAGTATATACACCGCAAGCACACAGCTTTTTTTGCATCAAAAGAATGGCAAAAAATTATTTAAAACCTTTTTTATTTATTTAATTACCATTTTTAATCAAAATAAATGCTCTTGTCAACGAATTTAAGCAATCTTCTGCCCTACAGCGTGATGACTCACCGCTGAGGTGTATGTATGTACGGGACCATCGACATTGCAGAGGACCTGTCGCACCCTCTAGGGTTTATTTAGCGCCCTTTGTCTCCTCTGATAGAACGAAATAGGCATTAATAATATTAATTTAATGAAAATTAATTTAAATAAAATATTAAAAACGAAAATTCATCGGCTAGCATCAGAGAAAAACAATTCCCTATCCCTCTCCTGCAAGCCACTGGTTCCTCTCAGTGGCGAGAGCGAGAAGAATATTTTTTATTGTAAAAATATAATTAAAAAACATTTAATATATATTAAATAAAACAATTGAGGCTTTTAATGGATAGATCATCTGGTTTACCGCTGCACATCTCAACATGCCTCCACCCAAAACCCTAAACCCTGAACCCTACCTAGTACGCAACCGCATCTCAAGGTTTTACGGTTTAGGGTTTATCCACCTAAAATAATAAAAAAAGTATTATAATACTTTTTTAATATTGAAGCTGAAGATACACCAGGGAGAGGCGTGTTTTGTTCTGCTGCTGTGACTCTACCGTATATCCCCCTATCTGTATTTCCGTCTTCTTCTCCTTTTTAGTTTGCTTTTTATGCTGTTGTCTTTGTCTATATTGTACTTTATTAATTTTCCAGGGTGTATATGCAGTTATAGGGCAGCAGAAGTTGCATGCAGACGCCAAGCAGCAGTAGGCGACAGCGGAAGAGGAGTAAACCAACAAAAACAGAAAATGTTTGGAGCTTTTGTCGTTCTGCTGCATGCAATTAAATGCATGCAGAGGGAAGTGAGGCTAATTGTGCATGCACTGCTGTGGTGAGTGCAATTCAGGGTCCCGAGTTACTTTTTGGGTGTGGCAGCTAGCTAGCTGGCTGTCTGAGCTAGCTAGGTAGCTTGCCAGTTAGCTAGCTAGCTAGCTAGCTCAGCCAGATAGTTAGAAAGACATCTGGGTAAGCAGCTGGCAGCTAACTAGCCAGCCATATGAGTGTGCACCTAGCTAGCTGTCTAGCTAGCTGGCTATCTAGCTCTCTAGCTAGCTGTCTAGCTAGCTGTCGAACTAGCGGTCTACCTAACTGGCTAGCTAACTGGCTAGCCGGCTAGCTAGCTAGATGGGTAGCTAGCTGGTGGAGAGGATATTTGAAGGGGAGTAGAAAGCAAGGAGAGACAATTTATTTATTTGTGTGTTTAATTCCTACAAACAATCAAACTGTCTCTGTACTTGTTTATTTCTGTCTCAGTCTTGCTCTCTACATGTGGTGTTTGTTTGTTTGCGTATTTATTTATTTACTTATTTATTTATTTATTTATTTATTTATTTACTTGTTTGTTTGCTTGTTTATATGCCACCGGTTTATCTCTTTAGTGATATACTCATTTTTGTGTATTATATATATATATATATATATATATATATATATATATATATACGTCTGCCTCTATGTATTTATATAGTATCTATACATATATATTAACATGTATATTGATTATTAATTTTTGTGTATTTGTTTATTTGTTTGTCAGTCTACAGGTTCTTTGAATGTCTGTCTCTTCCGAATATCTCTTTTACCCTCTTCTTCCTTCTTCGGATGTGCACGCGTTGTCTGTGCCTTCGGTTGAATCTACAAAGAAATCAAATAAACAAACAAACAAAACAAACAACATGCGCACCCTCTCTACTTCCTGCTGCTGCTGCTGTTGCTACTGCTGCTGCTGCTGATGCTGCTACTGCTGCTGCTGCTGTTGCTGCTGTTTCTGGTCTTTCTGTTGCTGCTACTGCTACTGCTACTGCTGCTGCTGCTGCTGCTGCTACTGCTGCCGCTACTCAGTCAGCTGCACCCACAGCTGGAGCAGCAGCAGCAGCCCCAGTAGCAGCAGCAGCTGCAGCAGTTGGTTCCTCCAGTGGATGAGTATGAGGATCAGTAGTTCATTATATATATATATATATATTGTAGAGATATACATATATATGTGCATATATATATAATATATGTATATATATATATATATATACCTGAAATGTAACTCTTGCTCTTGCTGAACCAGCTTGATTGCGACAAACAATGAGATAAGTTTTGCGAGGAAAGCGCAGTTGGCGTCCCGCCTCAGCCATTTCTTCAGAAAATCCGACCCCGGGATGAGAAGGATGAAAAGCCCCTAAACAAATCAATTCATATATACGCATACTTACTTCATTATAAATATGGGTGCATGCATGCATGCATGCACGCATGCATGCATGCATTGATTTACGCATCAATAATTATGTGTTACTTATATCAATAACTCTGTTTTCATGCATGTATATATATATATATATATATATATATATATATACATTATATATATATATATACCTATACATCAGCAACTATGTTTACATGCATGCATGGATATATGTATGCGTGCATGCGTTAATGAATGAATCGATAACAATATTTACATGCATGGATGTACGCATGCACCCTTTTATTTTTGCATGCATGCATGATGCATGCATGCATCGGAGGGCCTATTTTTGGGGCTTTGTTGTGGCTTACTAGCGGCTTGTTCGTGGCTTTTTGTGGCGGCTCTCATCATTTGAGGGCTTAACTCTCCTCCTTCGTATTTAGAAGGAATAACCCCCTCGATAACCCCTAAACAATTAAAATAAAAAACAAAGAAAGAAAGAAACAAAGAGAGAAAAATACAGATATGCATATACACTCAAAAAACACAAACAAACAAAGAAAATACTACCTGCTTGCATAAATAAAAAGAGATGCATTATTATTATTATTATTTTTTCTGCGTTATTTACAATACACCAAATGCATAAATAAAAATAGAAGAATATATTTCTGTTAAATCTAAAAAGTTAAACCAAAGCATAAATAAAACAGAAGAATATACAAATATATATATGTATAATATATATATATATATATATATATATATATATATTTGTTAAATGAAAAGGAGAAGAAAGAAGAAGAAAACAAAGGATCATTGATAAATGAAACATATAATTTACCTGTAAGTCTATTGAAGACAAGCCCTGTCTGAGGCTGTAGACGAGGAGTAATTGCCCAAGTAAGCTGAGCTTTATCAATGCGTCCAGAGACAACAGGTTCTAAACGAACAAACGAACCCGGAGTAAATGTAACACAAGGCCGAGGGTCTTCTAAGTCAGGCCGATACCGACGAGGAATTATATACCGGAGCTGTACATACACTCCACATACTTCATACAAATATATATATATATATATATATATATATATATATATATATATATATATATATGTATATGAATAATTATATATACAGCAGCTGTGCAGACACTCAATGTATTCATTTACTTCTTCCGTTGTTATCATCTTCCCTATGCAATGCTTGCAAGGTGAAAACCAAAGAAATACATTTCAATCGTTGCATGCATGCATGCATGCATGCGCGCATGCAACGGGATGAAAACAATAGTAGAAACGATAATAATAGAAATATTCACAATGAAAATGATAATAATAATACTTTATTATTAATAATAATAAGAGTTATGAGAACAACAAAAGTAGAAATAATAATTTCAAGAAAAAAATAATAATAACAAGAACAAATAGAAGAAAAACAACAATACACAAAATAAAATCAGCAGCATCTGCGTGCATGTAGTAAATGCATGCATGAATGGCATGCATGCATTGATTAAATGCATGCATGCAGGATATGGATGCATTGATTAAATGGATGCATGCAGGATATGGATGCATTGATTAAATGGATGCATGCGTTTACCTTAAGGGGTTTTCCTTCTTTAGGTGAGGGTTCAGGTTTATATGCTTCTTGTTGTTCTTCTACTTGTTCTCTAGCTCTCGATAACTTATCACCCATGATAGCTTCAATATGCTGCTTCATTCTCTGCTCTACTTCTGCTGCTTCTTGAGATGCTCCTGACTGTAAACCAACTGCTCCTAATACAGCCAGCATAGATTGAACAGCTGTACTTACTCCGCTCTTTAGGCTCTGCATAACAAACATAAATATTATTTAATCACTCTCTTATTGTATTTCTATATGTACATATATATATATACATATATACATATATATATATATATTTTATTCCATCCATGCAGGCAAATGCAATTGCATGCGGACATTCAATAGATATATTTTGATGCATGCATGCATTCAATGCATGCATCAAAATGCATGCATCAAAATGCATGCATGCATACTTGAATTAAATACGCGATATAAATGCATGCAATTATTAATGGCATATATATATATATATACATCATATCTATATGCTATATATAGAGCAGAAATTGTGCAAATAATTGGGGTGTATAGGCACCTCAAAGCTGGTGAATGCAAGGCCTAAGAAGCCGAAGAAGGCGAGGAGAGCAAGAGTAGTAAGTAGAAGCACAAGGAGCATCCTGTCGAGAGATAAGCCGACTTCATGAAGAACAAGCATAGGCATAAATCTTCCGAAAAGTACTTCAAATCCACTGAGAAGTTCGCCTAAAGAAAGACTTAAGTCATGGTTAATATCCATTAGATCAAACATTCTTTTAATATCTTGTTCAGGCATTCGTATGCGCATGTTTTGTATAACATCTCTTAACATTGAGAATGTCATCCCTTCTACAGATAAAGAACTTAATACTAATCCTATATCTTCTGGCTTTAATAAACCAAATCTATTTGTTCTTCTCTCCAGTGACTTCAATACTCTATCCAACTTAAAAGGAGACACTTCAAGCTGAAGAGACAGAGTAAGCAGCACACGCACTGCCTCCGGCCACAGACCCGTCATCAATAACCTGCAAACAAAAACAAAACAAAATAATAATAAATAATAAATAATAGTAATAATAAATAATAATAAATTAAAATGAAAATAAATAAAAAGCAAATAATAATAATAATAGTAAGAAATTAAAATAAAAATAAAGAACAAATGATAATAATAATAAATAAAAAACAAATAAGAACGAGGGATAGTAATATAACAAAAGGAGACAGAAGACAAATCGGAAGAAACAAAGAGGAGACAAAACCAAAGGAGATAAAACAAAAGGAGACAAGAGACAAATAAGAAAAAACAAAAAGAGACAAAGCAAAAGGAGACAGGAGACAAAGCAAAAGGAGACAGGAGACAAACAAAAGGAGACAAAAAAAGGAGACAGGGTATATACACGAAGACAAAACAAAAGGAGACAGAAGCCAAGCAGAAAGAGACAATACAACAAAATTAGATAGGAGACAAAATAGAGTAAATAAGAGACATACAGAAGATAGAGAGTAGATGGATTAAACCATTCAACAGTCAAAAGGAGACAAAGGAGACACTTGAAGAGACTCTTACCTCGGGAGTTTCTTACGAATGCATTCAACACTAACTACTCTTCCTTTCATAGGATCTAAACCCAATATATCCATCTCTAAACGCAAATATTTAGTCTTTATGCTTCCTTCAACAAGACCAGCAGGAAGAAAATCTGTTATCTCCATCGGGTCTTTAGGAAGCTCATCCCACAGTGCGCGAGCTGCCTATACACCCCAACACACACAAATCAAAATCTAACTATGCATGCATCTCTGCATGCATAGATAAAGGCATGCATGCATACACGCATTCATGTTTTGCATGCATTCACCTGCATGCATGCATTTGTAATGCATGCATTTGCATGCATGCATGCATTATGAGCTTACTTTATCTGGAATAGCGATTTCAAGGTGCTTGAGTAATCGTTTGAAGAGGAAGAAATTGATTAATCCTTTATAAGCGACAATACTAGCAACAGAATCTTTATTTAAGAAGGGCTTTCCTAGAGCTGTAACAGGCTGCAGATACACCCGAATGATACCCAGCTTAACATCTCTTTCAGGTAGAAACTGCTGCACTTCTTCATATCCTTCAATCCCTATCATTATCCACAGCATTCGCGAATGACGATGTCCAACGCTCAGCCCCAACTTCAAAGCCACTCGATGAAACATCTCAAAAGACACCATACGCATGCCCTGCAATCAAACCCACAAACTGCAGCAGCAGCAGCAGCAATAGTAGCACCAGCAGCAGCAAGAGTAGCAGCAGCAGCAGGAGTTGCAGCAGCAGCAGTACTAGCAGCAGCAGGGGTACCGGCAGCAGCAGGAGTAGGAGTAGCAACAGTAGTAGCAGCAGCAGGAGTAGGCTTAGCTGCAGCAGGAGTAGCAGCAGCAGCAATAGCAACAAAAGCACCAGCAGCAAGAGCAGCACACGCAGCAGCAGCAACAGCAGCAAGAGCAGCAGCAGGAACTGACCTCTTCTGTGGAGTCTAGTGCAAGATCTGGAGGTACTGCTTGATAATCATCAGCTGTATGGGCATCTCTAGTCAATGTGTCTCTAGATACAGCTCCAAGTTGGGTAACTGTCTCCTTTGGTCCTGTCTTTCTTCCTCTTAATCTGTCTCTTCCTCTTCGAAGCTGTGAGATCTGAGGCTGAAATAGCTTATGAATTTCTTTTATAAACTCTAATACTTGACTCTTACCCATATAACCAGGACAAGAAGATGTTAATCTATCAAAAGATTTATACATCTCTGAACTCCAACCGGGGTCTTCACGAAACGCCATCCAGTCTATCACTTCACTCGCTGCTTCGCCTGTATACTCATCACTCATATTCTTTTTAGATAAAATATAAATAAATAACAATATATTAATAAATATAAATATATATATATATATATATATATATATGTTTACATATGCTTATTTATACATATGTACGTTTTGTGCTCTTGTATATTATATATGTATATGTAGTTATTAATTAACTAACATATGCATATATTAATATAAATAAATAAATAAATAAATATATATATATATATATGCGCGTATATGTATATATTATGTTGAAAGGTGAGGGTACAGCGTATAAGAAAGGAGACAGCAAAGGAGACAGCGTATGAGAAAGAGAAAGAGAAGGAGACAGCGTATAAGAAGGAGACAGCAAAGGAGACACTGTATAGGAAAGGAGACAGCGTAGAAGAAAGGAGACAGCGCAGAAGAAAGAAGACAGAAAAGGAGACAGAAAAGGAGACAGCGAGTAAGAAGGAGACAGCAAAGGAGACAGCAAAGGAGACAGCAAAGGAGACATTAGTATGAGCTTACTTGATGCCTGAATATTGCAGACAGCGGAGTCTCTACGAATACCGAGGATCTCTAAAGCAGCAACAGGATGTCCCCTTTCATGAACATATAGAGACCCTATTTTAAGCTGTTGGAGACACCCTACTACTCCAGAGAAGTTTAATCTATTATCAGTAAGCAGCTGTATTGCTTCATCTACAAGATCAAGAGGAAGAAAACCGGAAAAATTGCCGAGCTGATTAAATACACTGCGCGTTCTTTGCAAATTGTTCAGCAGCCGTCTCCTTTGTCTCTCCTCTGCTGAGTTTACTTCTAAACAAAACAAATATCACAACATATTCATATCAATACATTCAGGTTTATGCATATACACCTCTAACACTTAAAGCCCTCATCCAGATGAAGCAGCAGCAGCAGCAATAGAGAAGAAAAGAATAAAGATGTAGGAAATAAAGAGTTGAGTAAGTGAGATGTGAATAAAGAAGAAAGAAAGACAGAAAGATATTTACTTCTAAACAAAACAAATATTTTAACACATTCATATCAATCAATATATTCAGGTGTATGCATATACACCCCACACACATATAAAGAGCTCACGCGCAAGAGGCAGCAGCAGCAACAGCAGCAGAAGCAGAAGCAGCAGCAGCAACAGCAGCAATAAAGAAGGCAATCAAGCAGTAGGAGATAAAGGAGTGAGAAATAAAGAAGAGAGAAGCGAATAAAGAAGAAGAAAGAAAGAAAGAAAGAAAAGAAAAAGACCAGAAGTTTTTAATTAATTAATTTATTTATTTATTTTGTTTGTTTGTTTATTTGTTGTTCACCTCTAGTGAGGCTGTCTTCTTCTATTATTTTTTCTTCTCTGTCTTCTGCACTTCCTATCTCTACTGCACCTCCAGGTAATTCATCAATTAATAAATTATTACCTAAAAGTTGTACAAGGAACTGAAAGCCTAAGAAGCCCCAAACAAATACAAAAAAAAGAAACGCATGCAATAATCTATCTGCATGCAGGCGGGGCTTTTAAAAACATTAATTATATTATATTGCATTACATTATATTTAGATTAGATTAGATTAGATTATATTATATTATATTATATTATAATATATTATATTATATTATATATATTATATTATATTATATTATATTATA